CAATAAAATAATCATATTATAAGTGAATATATTGCATTTTGTAATTGAAATCAACATTTATATAACTTTAACGACACAAAATCACAAAGCGAAATTTCCAAGAAGATTAATAAAAAGTGCCTACGAACAGCGAAATTTGCATTTTGACCAATCAAGCCTATCAATTTATTAAAATGGTTTGATTAGTTAATCAGGTCTTATTAGAATATCACTATATCAAACATCTCAATGACACATGTGATCTGGTGATCTGTATATAAAAGTTGTGTTACAGGTAACAAAAATTTATAATGGTTATGGTTAACAATTCTTTCTCGATATCTTTTGTTATTAGATTTTTTTTTCTCACTTTTAAATATAAATATTAATAACTATTGAGAATTTAAAAATAAAGTGGCATGCACCCAAATTTTATTTAATAGTTTTGCTACATCAAAGCATTACATCAATTAGCATATTTTTTCATTACATTTTAATATATATTTCTGCACGGTCAGAACAGGTTCTACTATTATGGCCAACTTTCTTGCACACATCACATTTTCTTCCATTCATTCTAGCTTTCTCTGACTCAAATGCTGATGAATTTCTTTTAGTAGAGGATTGAGCTTTATTTTCTAAACCAACAGACCGTCCCCTTGTACACTATATTGTTGATCCAAAAACATGAAGGGCTCTTGTATAAATTGTGACAATTCATTTCGCACTGCTACTTGTTGAGAGGATGACAAAGAAGCATATTGTAATGGAATTCTTGCAGTAGTTGCGATGATAAATTTTTTGTATCCCCAGATAGCAATTTATTTTCAAGCTACCAATGTTGATTAATATCTTCAAGCTTCAATGATTCGTTCATTGCAAGACGTTTCTGAATAGTATATACGCATGGAAGACCCATAGTCACAGTGAAAGTACCAGTATATGATTCAAGAGGGTTGACAAGGGTTGCATGTAAAACTTTATCAAATTGTTCATGCATCTTCTTTAAAGCATATGATGATATCTTAGTAATTAATTCAGCATAAAACGTGATATTTTGTTTATGAGGAACTGGGTTTTATCTTTTGCAACCATTGCTTTTATCTCATTATACTGATTTTCTAGCATTAATGAGATTCTTTTATGTAC